TTGGAGTTTGGGGTGACTTGGCTAAAGACAAGTGCCCGAGAGGTGGTGACATACAGCAACTGTGAGGATATAATCTTGTTCAGGGAAAGGACAGAGGAAGGAGGAAATACCAGACCTGCTTACCAACTCTCTACTAATCCACTCAAGTGCTGAGCCTATTTCCTCCCAGGTACCCAGGCACCCACCCACACCTCCGTGCACCCTAGACTCCCCCCCCCCCCATTCGTTTATCTGCCATCCCAAGCATCTTCATATACATGCCTTTGCCTTTCCATACTCAGCCATTTTATCGTATCCGCTCGTCCATCCTCTCTCTTGACTCATCCGCGTACCCCAACCCCCCTCCCCATCCGTTCATTCATGACACACGCAGGCAGCATCCTCGTTATCCCTTCACCTCGCTGAGGAGCCACCTCATCAACAACGAATAGGTTAGTGTTGATCGTGTGCTGAGGCCATGCTACAAATATGCTAGCTAGCTAGGATATATCATGTAAACGAGCTTCAACTGCTCTTAAATACAACTACTAGAAACTGTAAATTACACATGTGGCTCACATTTATGGATTGTGTTGTTTTCACTGGGCGGCAAAATTTATGCTATCTGTCATCCATCTATGCATCCCCCCATCTATCCACATATCCATCCATCCACCCGTCATCCACTTATCTAGCCACCTGTCCACCATTCATTCATTACTCTGTATCAATTGATCATTAAGCGACCTCTATCCATACATCTATGGATCCATTCATCTATTGATCTTTCTTTGGTTTCTCCATCTAGCTGTATCTATGCACGCACACATCCATCCATACCTACGTACATCCATTTAGGCATATGTACATCCATACACCCATCCTTCCATCCATCCTTCCATCCACCCTTCCATCCATCCACCCTTCCATCCATCCATCCATCTATCCATCCATCCATCCTTCCATCCATTAATCCATCGTACTTAAATTCCCACCTTAATCCATCATTCATTAGTTCCTGTATCAATCCATCCATCCCTTATCAGCCCTGCCTCTACTGATCCATCTCTCTATCCATCATCCATCCCCCATTCATTTGTTCCTGCATCAACCCCTCCACTGTTTTTCTCCCTTCTCTCATCTGCTCACTTCCCATGTGTCTCCATCTCATAGCACATATCTGTAAAAGGTAGATATTTTTGTCTATCATGAGTCAGAGGCAGTAGGTCGGAGGAATGGAGACGCCAAGGCTTACACGGAAGGAACTTGCCTACGGTGGGACAGATGGAGCCAGGCTCCGTCTCTATCAGATCTGGGATCCTCATTTTTCACGTTGGTGCTTTTTTGTTAGGTATCTTTTAAGATAAAAACAATCCTTTGGGGAAACATGATGTGCTTAGGATTGGGGTGGGGGTGGCTTTGCAATTGAGGCCTAAGAGCTCCTATCCCTGAGGCGACCACACAGTATGGAGCGAGTCAGCCCCTTTAAAAGCCTCTGGGAACCTATCCCTGGTGGCTGACATGAAAGGGTTATCCCTACACATTCGATATTTGCAAAAAAAAAAAAAAATGTGGGTTCTTTCAGATTTCAAAACTCATTTCCATGACAAAACTCTTGGGAAGAGAAGATGAAGGGCCTGGCTTTTGCAGAACAATCTTCCAGCTGTAATGAGGGCTGAAGATGGCAGTGGAGAAGGGATTATAATTAGAATATGAAATGGGGAAAATTAATCTATTCCAGGCAACGGTGAGAGGATGTTCTGACGTCTCATAGCGATTCTTCTGCTGTTGTCCCCCCGTTTCTTCTGCATGTTTTAAAGCACACAGAAGGTTGTGCAGTGTGAACAATGACTCTTGGCAGAGGGTCTGGGAAGCCATGAGATGTGCACAGGGTTTCTTCCCATGTGCTGTCACTGAGTGTGTGTCTCTGGGGACACGAAATGTGTGTTTGTGTTCACACATACTGAGTTCCAGCAAACAGTTGCAGGTGTGTAATATGTTTCTGCATCTGGCACTACTCCTGTGCTGTGTGTGTTTTGGGGACTGTGTACCAGTTTCCCACAGTCTGAGAATGTACCCTGTACTTGTGCTCTGTGGACATAGGTATGAGACCTGTGGGACTGAGTTGTGTGTGACAGAGGTTCACACAAACCCGGGTTTGTGGCATATGTGTGTCTGTACTCTCAGCTCACTTTGACATGTCCTGGATAGTGGTAGATGTTTTTCATCTGGTCTGTGAGCCCATGAACACGTGAAGGAAGTGGCCCTGCTCTCTCTGAGGGAATGAGGTAGTTCTGTGACCCTTTCCTTAGCTTATTCATTCTTTTTCCAGAAAGAATCTTCCACAAGGAGGAGAACAGGAAGAGGTCTCAGTCCTTTGTTCCTGGAGGCCAAGGAAGTGAAAGCCCCCTGAAAGCTCTTGGGGATGACCCCTCCCTTTTCCCTTGGATCCAAGGTCTCTCTACTCAGTACAGATTTGACAGAAGTGGGCAGGCCGGTATCCCTCACCCCCTGCCTTAGCCCCCATTCACAGCTGTTCAACACAGCATACTTCAGAACACTGTGAGATACCCCAGACTCTCCAAACTGAGGCAGAAGGGACAGGCTGAGGCTCTCAAGGAACAGTCCACCAACCAAGTCCTTCCTCTAAGCCAAAGCAAGCAACTCTAGGCTTGAATTGACGGATGCATGAATGAGCGAATGGGCCTCTTTGTGAGACTCTGGTGACCTCACAGGAGCTCACTGCTCTAAAACCTCTTGACAAACTCTCTACCAGGGCTTCCTGTCTAAGGCCATCATCTGCAGCTCACTCTGGGAGACTCTTCCCTCTGCCAGGTCTCCAACACGCTTGTCAAGCATCTGCTGTGTCTAAGGCCCTGGGCTGATTGTTGATGACATGGAAGGATCTAGAAAAGCCTTGGTCCCTGTTTACAGGGACCTTGGAACATGATTAGAAAGAAACCAGGCAGAGCAAACAAGATGACACTTGTGTGGTCTTGTCCCCGTTGAGTGACCTACCTCGTCCTCATGTTCCCTTGGTTTTTAATGAGAGAAAGGGTGCCTACTTCATTGGACCACTGAGATCCTGCATAGAGAACATGTCCGTCAGAATGACTCAGGCACAGTCATTCATTCGCCACATTTTTTGTCACTTTTCCACTGTATAAAAAAAAAAAAAAAGATGGGCTTTTTTTCTGCCTGCTAGTTATATACTAGCCAGAGGTTCATGATTGATGTCTATTGCACAGAATTTCAGGGGACATCATTCAGTCTGGTTTCTTGTTCCATCTTGTTATGTATTAACTTACACCACCCAAGTTAGTTGGTATTGTTTTAGAAAATGTCTCAGCTCCCTGGTTAAGCTCCTCCTCCACGCACAGCTCGAAGTCCCAGATCTCTGGTGACACTCAGTGTGGGAGGGTGTGGTAGGGAGTCCAACCTGAGCAGTGCACACGGTAAATGAAGGTGTGATCGAGAGGGCTAGAAGGTTACAGGCTGTGGAAAAGAGAGGGCGTGGCAGCAGGGGAGGCTGGTTCTCTGAGCCCACGGGGTGGGGCTTGCCTCGTGGAAGGTTGCTGTACACAGCTCTGAGGGAAGGGCTTGGACAGACATCTACACGGCTGAGGGAGTGTGGAGCTCTATATCATGCCTCTGCACAACTCTACTCACGAAAATTAGTGCCACAGAGAAACTCACACCCCTGTGCAGTGACTAATGCAGCCATGTTGAAATCTGAAGGAGAGAGAGTGCTTTGGGCCATAGACTCAGCTAATTGAGATTCCTGGCTGCCTTCTTACTGTGGGATTCTGGGGACTTGCAGAAGCAATTATGTCCCCATATAGAGCACTTTCCCAGGTGCGTTTTCATCAGAAAAATGAGACACAAAGCAATATAGAGTGTTATCATTTGGAAGTATAGACATGCAGCCCTCGTCAGATACAACCCTCCGGATTCTTGTCCCTAGGCCAATGGAGGCCATCTTGCTCAGAAGGTTGTGCTTCCTTGTGTCCCCTAAGGGACAGGCCACAGCAATGGCTGGTTGTTGTAGATAGTGGAAGGCCATCATCCCTTGCTTCATGCTGAGACTGACTCTGTGTACATGTGTGCAGTTCATGTCTTAGGGTCACCATGGAATGAAGCTGAGGTGAGTGTTCTCCTTCAGCTCTGGCCTATGTCCATACGGGTTAACCCTCAAATCCTTCTCACTCAAAAGTGTGTGCATGCCTCAGTCTCCGCGCCTGGGGAATGCTATAGAGATGCCTCTCTTCAGAAAAACGGAATCACCTGGCGGCATGTGGAGAAAGCTGCTCTAAACTGTCCCTGGGATGAGGGGACCATTGTCCTATCCTTGTTCACAGACAGGAGTTTCAGAAGGAAACTAATTGAATCAGTATCTGCTGCCAGGGCCCAAGTTTCTCCCTTTGTGCCTGTTTCCCATGGCAGGCAGTTCTTCCAGCAACCACAAGTGGCAGATCTTCCGACACAGGATTGTGGTCCCCCGCCAGCTCCCACCACAGTCCTCATACTGTGGTGGTGGGTAATCTTAGGAGTTAAAAGGAGTCAGAGGAGGAGACAAAGCCACTTAGGATAGGAAGGTTGTAGAGGGCTTCTCTGAGGCAGGCTGTCAATTCATCCAAAGCAATTCATCCAAAGCAAGGTCCTTCCCTGGCACGTGGGGGTCCAGCTTTAGCTGATTGCCTCAGTCACTTTGCATACAAGAGTCATTTGTATACTTGCAGGGGTGGGCAGCTCAGTGCCTGACAAGGCAGTATGCTGTGACAGCCAACAAAGTGCCAACAGCAGAAGACACTGCTTGTCTTTGTCCTGTGTGTGATTGATGGCCCTGACCTGGGCATTCAGGACCACAGAACAGGGGCCACCACCCCACTGGACTGGGGCCTTAGGCATCCTGGGCTCCAATCCCCTTTGCCTCGGCACAGTCCCCTGACCTCCTTGGGCTACAGGTCTCGGTTCCTTCCAGGAACACTATAACGAGAACTGTTTCTCTCTCTTTGTTCTAGTTTGATGGTGACAGTGCCTATGTGGGGATGAGTGACGGAAATCCAGAGCTCCTGTCAACCAGCCAGGTGAGTGCCCACCCTATGCCCATGCCCGAAGGGGTCTGAGCCTTGGGCTGATGGAGCCAAGATGCTGCTAGCATTGACATAGGAGGGCTGCAGTTGCCTCTGATGCTGTTCTCTCAATGTTCAAAAATATCTGTTGAATCCTTACAGAGGAACGGTCAAACCAGGACTACAGTGCTATAAGTGAAGTCCTTGGCTACCATTGGCTTACACTGGGCACCATTGAGGACTTAACACTCAAAATGTGTTGCCCCACATTTCCTGTGCAAGGGACAAGTTTCAGGACAGTGAGTTCAAGTGTCCTATGGTCTCTGACACTGCCTTCCTCCTACACTGTACTTATAGGGACAACTGGAGAGAGTGTCTACATACAGGTGAAGAGACTCTAACCCTCACACAGAATCAGTGATCTGAGGCCCCTGAGGAGGCTCATGGACATGGCCCAAAGGGCAGAGGGCAAAGTTTTCCTGGAAGGTCCTCTTCACTGATACAGACCTCTGGAGGCATAGACAGAATCAGATTTTCCACAGAAAAGAGAAATTTCACTACAGTGAGTTAAGCGTCCTCAATACCAACTGTGACCAGGAAAGGGGTCCTTGCTGTAGATTGTGACAACACAAAGAATGGTACCCTAAGGCAGGAGTGCCTGCAGGATGACAACAGCTAAAGATGCTGGATGGGACCAAGGAGTTTCCCAGCTGCTGGGAACCTTGAGGAGCTGGAGGACAAGTCTGGTCCTGCTCTTGACTTCTGCCTTCTGTCTTGTCAACTGAAGATGGCTGCTCCCCTGCCCCCATTCAGCCATCATGATAGGTTCTCATCTCCTGGCTGGGAAAAACAAAAGCCTATTAACTCATAGGCATAATGTACCTTATCCTGTGACAGGTCCCATGGGGCCATAAATGAATAAGTTGTGGGCCTGTGGCCCCTGGAGACCTCTGCTAGTGGAGAAGATGATACTGTCCGAGTGACAAGGATGCTGATCCTGGGGTGCCATGCCCTTCTCTGGCCTGCCCCTGTGTGAGCAATATGCTGCCATTGCAAAGCTGCTTTTATGATGCTATATCATGTGCCAGCCTGTGTGAATGGTGAGCGAGACTCCAAGTCCTGGGGGTGTCCCAGTGACAATGCTTGATTGTCCAGAATCAGCTTGTCATCCCAAGAGGTCAGAACTTACTCTAAACCTCTTTGAGTCATTCCAAGGCCACACTGAACGTTGCAGCAGATTGCACTCTGAAGTCAAAACCAGCCTCTCACTTCCTTAGAGAGCTGTTTGTGGCTTCCAGCTCTGAACGGGGGCCAGGGCTGTCTCTTATGGCTCCAGTTTGTTTTAATTTCTGGCTCTTGTCACTGTCTGCGGTCATCTGCCACATTTGTGATGACTTAGATGGTGTCTGATCGCCACACAAGACCGTGACCTCTGTGGTACATGGAGTTGTGGGTATAGCCCAGAAAGCAAGGAACACTGGTGTGATGTGTGAACGTGGACTTTTTATTTAGCCTTCTGGACTTCACCTTCTCTAACAGGAGAGCAGGGTAGTTGGACTTCTCATGAATTCTTCTAGAACTTTTTGCTGTCACCAGAGGGTCTGCCTAACCTAAAAGAGTCATTAGGAGCTGGATGTAGTGATATTTGCCTGAGCTCCCAGCACTTGGAAGGCTGAGGCGGGAAGACAGTTAAGTTTGAGATCAGTATTGGCTACTTAGTGCATATACCTAGAACAGCAATACTCCATATAGTTGTAGTAGTAATTAGAATACTGTGAGAATAAGTCCAGCCAGATGCATAAGCCAAGTTTGATATCAGCAACTTAGCAAATGTAGCCTTGAAAACTTCTCATAGTATGTCTTTTCTTTCTTTACTGCAAAACAAGGCTCTCACAACACAATGGCTAAAAACTACAAACGTGTACGTAGGTTTGGGTGGTATTGGTTGCCCGCCCCCATATCTCCCATCTCCCTACCCCTCAACTCCCACCCCCAGCCCCAATCCCCTACCCACCCTCACATATCGTTGGCTAGCTTGAGGCTATTCACATGGTAAGGGACAGGTTCCCAGAGTAGCAAATCCAGAAGCTATCCACCCTCTCGAGGCCTAGACATGGAACTGGTCTATCAGCGCTCCCAGCTCCTTCCATTGGTCAAAGCCAGGCACAGGACAAGTACAGATTCAAGCTACGGGAACAAGATGCCAGCTCTTGAAAAGAGAAACTGTAAAATACTGTAGCCCATTTGCAAGTGGCCATGTGGGAAACAGAGGTTATGAAGTTTATGATGACCTTGCTAATGAGTTAACTCAGGCGCTTCAGGATGCTGGCCTCTGGTCTCTCTTTAATGGTAAGAGACGGCCAGGAATTTCTCTTTTCCCTGGAGTCTGTATTTGAACACACTCACGTGCACACACACACACACACACACACACACACTTCCTTTCACAGAGTGTTGTCTTATCAGCTGTAGGAATTGTACTGCTTCCCGTTAATGTAGGACCCATGTGTACATGAAAAAACAAAGGTCTTGGAGACCAGAAGATGTTATATGTCTTGTAAGTATATTTGCATCCCAGGTTCAACCAAGCAGCAAGGTTCACTGGGCACCTTATGACTCAAAGGCCCTGGATCTGAGCCGGAAGCTGTTTCTAGCAAGCACTAGCTTCTAATATGTTCCAAACAGCAGCCTTAGGACTCAACTCAGTAGAGATAAGTTCTCCCCTGGCTGACAGCAGACCCAGAGCTACAGGGATCTGTACGTCCAGGCTGCATGATCTGGGAAGAAGGGGAGTCTGTCTGGGAAAGGCTACAGTTCTTACAGACCTGGACCCAATAGAGGCTAGAGGTCTCTATCCAAGTGACGTTAGCTTCCTACTAACAGGAAGAGTGGCACCTGCTTCTTGGGATCCTGGGAGAAGGAAATGAGGCAGGGTTATGGGTTCTATGGACACTGTATCAGAGTTCCTTCAACAGTCTAAAGTACCAGGTACAGCTGCTGTGGCTGTTGACTGCTGTCATTATCTAGAAAATTGGCCTCTGACAAATCGATCACTCTGCACTCCCACCCTCATGTAACCTGCACGATGGCTGCATTCTGGGCCAGGCTGCAACCTGCCCTTTTTCTTACTCCCTAAGCTCAACGCTCCTTCCTGCACTGAGTCTCTCAGAGAAGTCTTGTCTCAGGCTTACTTTGGGTGAATCTAAACGAAGAGCCTGCGCAAAACACCAGTGTTCAGAGAAACCAGTCGTGACTTATTTCTATTGTCTTATTCCCATAAATAAGGTTCTGGTCACACAAGATGAGCATCTGGTCAACTCTGTATCAATGCAAACATCGCTTCCTCTGTGGGAATCCCCTAGATGTCTTGGCCCAACAAATATCTGTCTCTTCCAGGTACTGCAAATGTTAGTGCGTCACAGTGCCTTTCTGGCTGTGGGTAGTTTTCCGATTTTATGGCTATAAATAAGATTTACACAAAAGTTCTCAGGGTTTTTCCTAAAAATTTGTGTGTGCACTCGTGCGCTCACACATACACGTGTATGTGTACATATGTGTCTGAGAAGGAAAGACAGGCAGAAACAGAAAGAGAGAGATACAGAGAGAGAGAGAGAGAGAGAGAGAGAGAGAGGGAAAGAGAGAGAGACAGAGACAGAGACAGAGAGAGACAGAGAGGCAAATGGGTTGAGACTGATGACATAGGCTTGTTAAAGCTCTCAGTAGCAGGAGTGAACACAGGGAGACTGAGGAGGCCACGTATGGTTTAGGCAAATGAACGATCCTAGATTATATGAGAGACAGAAGAAATGGAGACACACAGATGGTCTGAGATGTGATTTTGGAAATCAAGCTATTGTATTTTCAGACCACTAGATGTAGAGAAAGAAAGGAGGAGGAGAGCTGGGCAACTCCCAGGATGTAACATGGTTGGGCCATCTTCTTCCTTTGGGAGGGGCAGGCTTGATGAGATGGGACTTGAGCATTTGACATTTGAGAGGCCTATCTAAAAGAGATTAGATGGCTGTTCAAGTCTGGAGCCATCATGTAAGTTGTGACTTCTCGGCCTGTGGATCAAAGCCCTGGGAAGATAAATGAAACTTATGAAAAGAGAAAGCGTCAAATAATGATCCCCCTGCCATTTTTGTTTTGATATAGAGTCTTTCTGTGTCTTTCCACAGAGCCTTAGAAGCCATAGGCAGAGCATTTCGAGGACGGAGGAAGGATGGTGTTGGATACACAGCCCCTTTCCTGTCCAGAGATGATAAAATTAATTATTAATATATGTATTAATTATATGTTCAAGGTCACATTCAGCTGATGAATAGCAAGTTCAAGGTCAGCCAGGGCTACACAAAACTGTCTTTAAAATTAAAGGCAGGATTTTAATCAATTAAAGATTTAAATGGACTGAGAGAACTCATAAACGAACCAATAAACCCCCCTTTAACTCACTTTCCAGTTTAGAGCAGGAAGACACTTCTCCTGGAAGCTTTAGAAGAAGAGGTTTAAAAACTAGATCACAAGGTAACTGGAAATGAAGCTTGAAATACCAGAATACCAGAGTGGAGATGCAGGCGGGAAACGGGGCAAGAATACTTGGAGTTGAGGACCAACTTCCTTAATACATAAAGACTTACGAGAAATTAATTCAGAGCCAGGGTGGAGAAGGGAAGGAGATCTGAGCCAGTCATTTACCAAAAGACAAAGCACAAGAGAAAACTAAAGCTGCCATTTTGTTCCATCTATCTGGCTGATAACAAATCCCAAGGTTCGATGATACATTCGCTCAGAGTCCTTCAGGAAAACACATTTTATACATTGTTGCAGAGTATAGACTGGCCCTCGCAGCTTTGTATTGGAAGCCTCCTTCCAGTAGGGGGCAGTGTAGGATGCCCAGAAGAGGGGAAAAGGCAGAAACTCTGATCTCAAGTTTTCCCTCATTCAGTTCCCTCCGCCTATATTGTTTTCTTGCTCAGCCTCAGTTTTCCCCATTGATGATCAGGAGAAGGTGTTGT